GTGCTTTCATTTTGCATTCCTTTGCATGACTGAAAATTTTGAGGCGTCCTCTCATTTACCCTTGACCATTTGGACTTGCTATTTTGGGAAGTGTCTATGTAAGTAAGGCTAGTTCTTTGTCAACGTCTCCATTCAGTCATCTGCCTTTTTCTTATTGATTTGTAAGAGTTCTTGGTGTATTCTGGATATGAGTCCTTAGATGTATGTATTGCAAGCCTTTTCTTCCTTTCAGTAGATTACCTTTTCAACTCTTAATGGTGTCTTTGAGGAATCATTCTTGATTTTAATGATTTAATCTCTTTTTTGGTGAGTTGAAGAAATTTTTGCTACCCCAAGGTCATGAGGACATTCTTTTATGTTTTGTTCTAGAAACTTAATTGTTCTATATTTCACATGTAGGCTTATGATTATTTAAAATTGGTGTTTGTCTTGTATACTGTAAAGCAGGCATCAGGATTACTTTTCCCTATGGGTACCAAGTAGATCCAGCACCATTTATTCAGACACAGCTACGAAGATGCCCGTGTCCCATCGTAATCCCAGAATTTGGGAATATGTTGCTTTACATGGAAAAAGGGATTTTGCAGAGATAATTGTATTAAGGATCTGGAGATGGGATATTATTCCGGAAGAGGCAGCTAGGCCAATGTCATCGTAAGCATCCTTAGAAATGGATGACAGAGGCAGGGGTGAAGGGTAGAGGGAGATCTGATACAGAGGAAGAGGTCAGAACGATGCAGCCTTTGCTGGCCTCGAAGGTGAAGGAAGGGCCTTGAGCCGGGGAATGCGAGCAGCCTTCGCAAGCTGACAAAGGTGAGAACATGGGTTCTCTCCTGGAGCCTCCAGAAAGGAATGTGGCCCTGATGACATGTGGTCATCAGCCCAGCAAGACCTGCATCAGATCTCTGACCCACAGAACTTGGAGACGATCGGTTTGTGTTGTGCTAAGCCACTCAGTCTGTGAGAACTTGTTACAGAAGCAAACAACTAACATACCCCTGATGCGATCGTGCACGTCTGTTAGCCAGCAGGTAGCCCGTTGGGACCCTATTCTGTTGCTTGTTGTTTTTGCTACACTTGAGCCAATACCAAGTGCTTTTAGTTACTCTAGCTTTATAACCTGTCTTGGTATATGGTGCTGTCAGACCTCCAGTTTCTTCTTCTTCAAGCCTGTTTGGATGTGTGTGTGTGTTTTTTTTTTTTTTAATGGTTATTTATTTTTGAGAGAGAGAGAGAGAGCAGGAGAGGGGCATAGAGAGGGGGAGAGAGGGTCTCAAGCAGGCTCTGTGCTGGCTGCAGAGAGCCCGATGCGGGGCTCGAATCCACAAACCGTGAGATTATGACCTGAGTCGAAGTCAGACGCTGAACCACCTGTGCCACCCAGGCACCCCTTAAAGATTTTCTTTCGTTCTTCCTTGACCCATCTGGAGTTTCCAGGAATTTCTGCATGTAGTGTGAGATGCGAGCCCAAGTTCATTTTTTACTTGTAGATAACACAGTCCTTTCCCAGGCCTTCTTATTAGATAGTCATATATCAAAGTTCTACCAGGAAGGTCTGTTTCTGGACTCTCTCTCTCTCTCTCTTTTTAAAAGTTAATTAGTCTCCATGCCCAACATGGGGCTTGAAGTCACAACCCTAGGATCAAAAGTCACATGCTCCTACCGACTGAGCCAGCCAGGTGCCCCTGGACTCTCTTCTCTTCCCTTTTCTCTCATTGGCTGGCTGTTCCCCAGACCACTAACCATTCTGAACTGAGGCACAGTCCCCCTGCCACTAACCTCCATGAGCCTCTGGCAAGTCAGTGCATTCACATAGCTCTTTCCTTTTTGGGGAAAGTTCATAGAGTGGGCTATTTGGATTGTGGTTGTTTAGGGCCCCTGACTCTCTCCATGCTGTGGGCCCTTCCGGGTTGACCAGGAAGTGCCTATGTGTGCTTGCATCCCAGCAGGGCTGCTTGGGGTTTGCTGAGCTTCTTGGATATGTAAGTCAGTGTTTTTGTCAACTGTGGAAAAGTTTCACCATTATTTTGACAACTGTTTTTTTTTTTTCCTG